CGTATGGAAAACTTAACCAAGAACATGAGAGCAAACTCCTACAGTAGGAGAGAGTAAGGTATCCTCTGTTATTCAGGAAATAGATCTTTTAAATTTTCACTTCCACACCCCGAGCTGAGGGTCAACATAAGTTACTCACTGTGAAAATATACATTAAAACCACCTCCAACGCTTCAGGCTGCGAAACAACAACAGATACCCATACCCATCTCAGCATAATTTGTGGAGCAGCAAATTCACCCAGTTAGGACGCACATCAGCTGAAAGCGATAGGAGTTGAAGCAAAGACAAGGCTGTGTGTTGAATTAGCCTCTAGAGATCCCTAGGTTCTCCCGGTTGGCTCACTGGGGAGACAAGTCCATTAATGTCCATGGGCAAAACCTGTGTCCTGAAGCCAGATGGGATGACTCCAGGCTACAGGATTATTCTGAAAGGAGGTGAAGAAAAGGAGAGAGTGTTTACCTATATATAACCAAAACACTTTTCTTGAGTGAACATAACACAGAAAAGTCACTATGAAGAATCACAGGAGTCATATTCATTTAAAATATCTATTGAAATTAGAAATTAAACTCTTCAATATGATTTGAAGTACAAAACACAACATTAAAAGGCATTCAACAGATCTTTTATACATCACAGTGTTAGTGGCACAAAATGTACTTACATTTCAAATACATCAACAGAACTATTTTTACACTGCTCAAATACATTATTTATACATATGCATGACTCCATGCTTATCCCTATACAAGGTTAAAATGCATCCATGATAAATGATCAAGAAAGGTTCTGTTATGTACCACGTACCTGTATCTAATGTTCCTGGAATTCCTATGAGAGAGATACACAAATTAAAGCAATAGTGAGGACCACAGGGCTCTAAACACAAACAGCATGCTTTACTTACTATAAGTGCATTAGCATTAGGCGCTGATGCCGGCTTTTTTGATGTCTTTAATATCACTGTCGGCAACATTCTCCATATCCTACCCATTTTCCTCAGGATGCCAGATTATATATATATGAAAAGCACAAACTTTGGTTTTAAAAAGAAAACCTGCAAAAAAGCTTTATGCATGCTGCACCTTATTGGGATGAAAACCACTTGCATTAAACATAGTTATTTTAAAACTTTTTTTTTTTAAAGTAAAAGGACTGCAGATGAAATGCCAAAAATCATTTTTGCTTTCCTGTCTATTGCATTTTTAAATTGAAAGCTTTTTCTTTGTGATCTATGAATATTTAATCCTGCCAGCTTCATATAAAAGAAAGCTTTTCATTAATTTTCACTATGGTTCCTGCATGTCAGGATTTAACTGTATGCTGAGTTGAGCCATTCAGCTTTCATTTGGGATCTTGTCTAATGCATAAATCGCAGTATTTGATGAGAGATCATGCTACTCGGTAGGTGGGGAACAGCATCCCAAACTCTTGGTATACTGCAGTCAGCAGTAGGAGATTTAAGGATGAACGTTAACTTGAATAAAATTTAAATATTAATATAAACCGAAGTATGTATGTATATATAATCTTTCATCAGAGAAACTTAAAAAGCCTCCAAACCAATGAAATTATCCTCACAACACTCCTGTGAGGTAGCTGAGCATTGTTCCATCCATTTAAAAGATGGGTAAATTGAGATAAAAGAAGTGGCTTGTCCAAAATCACACAGGAAGACCCAATACTGCCATCATTGAAGTTAGTGTGGATTTTGCTACTGATCTTTCTCAGAATTGACTTGAGCTCAACTAGTGGCAAGTCCAGGGAGAAGCAAAGCCTTGGGAGTCCTGCCTCCACCCTCGCTCCTGTGCTCACTAGACAAGACACTAATTCATCCCAACAGAACATGCATCCAGGTACTGCTAAAAAACTCCGTTAAAACAGCATGTAAGGCAATACAAACAAACGAAATCTTAGCATAGCCATACGAATGGTACAAAGACCATGCAGTGAATCTCATTTTTAGATGAAAATTTAAAAAGACAACGCTGTTACAACAGTCATGTGAAAAGCAGCAGAGACATTCACTTTCCTGTGATACAGGACTTAAATGTCAGAGAGTAAAATAATATATTTACAATCTAATTTCAGGGCATTCGATTTCACACTATCAACATAAGCTGTAACACACACAAAAAAGCCTCATTCTCAGTAGATCACTACTGAAAATACATTACTTGGGAAATAAAACAGCATTAAAAAGAACAAAAGCAAAAACAAACAAACAAAAAAACCCCATAACCCCTCCCCAATTTTTCCGCATGGCAATGCAGAAAAATGACCTTTAGCATACCTGAAAGGATTAGCTATTTGGTAAGTGTATGGAGGCATACGGTCTATCCCAAGAGCCAGAATGTGTATCAAGTGACATGCTACAGAGATTTCCAGTAGCAATTCAAATATGTTGAGATTAGAGACAGATATGCTGACAAAAAAGTACACACTTTTCTGCTCACATATAATGTTATCTTTCAGCATCAATTCTGAGTTATCGTTTAAAAATATTTATAAAGTTTTTTTTTCATTTCTATTTTTTTTTTTTTTTAATCTGGACATACCATAACTTTGACACTGATTATTAACTAGCCACCCAAGGGACAGTAGGTCTCTGCACCACAGAAATTTTCTATATTGCCACATAAAGCCTGTCTCTAAGAAAGACACAGGAGAAAATAAACTGTGTCCTATGACATCCAGATACTATTAACAGGCCACTGCACTTCTGCTGCCTTCTAACACTCCAAGAGAACTGGTCACCAGTGCCATGCAGAGGAGAATCTCTCAGTGCGCACAACAAAAAAATGAACACCCAAGGAAATCTTCATGTCCTTTTGCCTTTTTTTCCCCCCTGCAGTTAAATCAAATTACATGGCCAGAGATCAAATGCCAGGGTTGAAGCGTCCCCAATCAGTCTTACCTGCAGGAGGGTGTTTCTGCGCATTGAAGCAATGACTCAAGATAAGCAAAGCTCAACAGTCTTCTGCTTCTCTGTCTCTGGTGATATGGACTTAACTTGCTGCCAGAACCAGAGTGCGGTGACTACTTCACTGCCCACTGAACCCAGCAGTGCTTCACACAACACCTAGGCAAACCAGGTGATTGGATGCGTCACTCATCTTTCCCCTAGGAATATTTTTGAATAACAAAGAGGATCTAAAATAATGGCTAAAGAGATCTATGAAAACAAACAGATATTACAAGCAAAGATCTGAACTGTGCATTACCACAAAAAAAGGTGATAAGGAATTCAGACTTGCTGGTAAACAGATATCTTTTTTCTTCTTGTTATAATGGCAGAACTCATTAAAATCAAGCCAAATAAGCAAGCATGCAACTCCAGGAGATAAAATTTGGATTTTGATATAGTTTAAAACTTGGAAAAAGGAGGAGAAAGAATTCAAGAAGAGTTTTATAAAAGAACAGTGGTCTTCTCAAAATTATAATGTCCAATCATTTTATTTAACAGGCAGTATAAAATAAAAAGTCAATGGAAAGAGGAGTCACTTCCTTATGACTGAGCTAAAAAATTACATTCCCAGCCAGTGAAAGTAGCCAGAAACAATTGCATTTAAAGGTTCTGATACATTTTCAGTGCAAAGTTACCCTGGCTTCAATATATTCATCCACCTCACTACAAGGATAATGCACAGATGTAAGTGATAATGAAATAAATGCAGTCAACCTTCAGTCCATGTGCCATTCAGAAGAATATTTTCCTCCAGTATTACACACAAACATACACAGCAATTCAGGTGCATCATATTTCATGATAAGTTGTTAGTTAAATTCTTGTAGGCTTTAAAAACAGCTAAGATCACTTTCCATAAAATGTTACTAAATAAAAACTACCATGATTAACAATATTTTATTTTACTACCCTGGAAACATATAGCACTGTGAATTCTGAAATACTATCAAACCGGGTCACTGACTCATTCTCAAATAAAACTTGTTTTATCACAGTATTGTTATTAACAGCACACACTATACAATATTAACTCAGAAAATGGGCTAAGTAGTTTAAACATTAAATACAACTTCCACAAATATCCCAGGCATTTTTATTACTGACTACAAGGATCATCCTGATGCTTAGAATTTTTATACTTAAGAGGAAAGATTCATTGATAACTCAAAGTCTGAAGAATAGCAAAATTACTCCTGTATTTTTAATAATCGCCCTTAAGACAGAAGCAAGCTATCTTGAACTTCCAAAATATTTCAATAACACAGCTATTTACACATTTGGTTTAAATAGGATTATATCTATATATCTATATAAAAAGGTTAAGATACCTGGATTAGAAGTTACAGAGCCCTATAAATGTAGCAGAACCCTAAACAACAGCAAAAAATAACAATTCTGAAAAACACTAGTGGTCCAGTGGTAATCAATACCATCAATGCATTTGATTAGATAGTAGGTTTGTGCCATCACTCAAGCTTACAGCTTCATAAATTCACTTCAGAAATTTAGTTTTCAACCAAACAAATTTCTCGTGTGACTTCCTAATATTCCCAGAAGGCAACGGAACCAGTTTTGTCCACCTATCCCTCCCCGATTTTCAAGAAAGGCAGAAGATGGCCGATATGCACCTTATTGATTTTGCTATTCTTGGAAAAATATGCACTAAAAAGGATGCTGTGATATTAACAAAAAACAGAAGTGTAATACACATGTTCAAGTCACACTAGGTTGACTATCCGGTTTAAATGATAGGCAGCTTAAACACAGGGAGCATTAAGACACCAAAATTTAAAGCAAATGGATATGCAAAAAGCTTCAATTTGTACGTATTTTAAAGTCATTTTGCTGATGTCATTTAATACAGTTCCCAGTCCACAACAAGGACAACAGAAACTTTTGGCATTATTTTTTGCAGAATCACATCTTCATTTCAGATAGCTACCTTTGTCCAAGGTCTTCCTTAAGCACCAAACTTGCCTTCCATTACTGTTTTTGTCTCGTAGGAATCGATCTATATAACAACATTAAAAAGCAATTCCTGGAACCAAGACTGCGTGCCAACAAAAAGCAGAACGGGCCAAGTAAGGCTACAGTAATGTAAGTGCAAGAGGAAAACAACAAGAGCAACAATAAAATCAAAACGAATGCTGTGATGAGTCCAATCTTCTCTCAGTCTAGGTAGGGAGAGGGTCGTCATCTCCTTTACTACACTTACACTTGCAGCACAGAACAAATGGTGTAGCTAGTAGAAGAAAGGGGGAGGCCACCAAAAGGAGAAGACCAAATCCTGCAAAAATTCCTACCACCTGAAACAGAAATCAGAGAGCAAATGTTCATTTTTCAATGCTCCAGCCAAATCCATGCTCCACAACTCAGTTCCATCATGTGAAGCTTATTTGCATTGATGAGCTTTGCTGTATTTCAAACACCTAATGAAGCAACTGACTAGGTTTTTTTTCTTTTTTTTTTCCTATCAAAGATAAATATTAAATAAGGGGGACAAGCCTACAAGACAGTTAGAGACTCTCCTTGTTAAATGTTCACTTATTTACAGGACAAAACTCCAAAAGGTAGCAGCCAAGTCAGGATCAGTAGTCATTTGCAGAGAGCCCAGAAAGACTCCAACAAACTTCCCACCGTCAGAAAGGTAAGTCTGGGAGTCTCAGCCTTGTATTGCAAACACTATGAACAACATGATGAGTTTGCATATGCCAAATGACATTTTACAAGTGAACCTGAGCTCACCTTGTTGCTTCAGGAAACTTGACCTAACTCCATCTAAAAGCATTTTTTCCATTTACATTTATTGATCACCCTCTTCCTAGCATAGGCAGAAGAGCTCAGACTGCCAATATTGTCAATGTGCCAAACTCTGTTAGTTTCTACAGCATTTAAATTTAGAAAATCATCTAAAGAAAATAAAAGTTGAGGGTCACTGCCTGATAAAGTTTCCTATTTCCGATAAACAACTCTAAGCTGAGACAATATTCCTGTAAATTTTTTGAGAAAACACTTAGACTGATTCACACAACAGTATCTGTGAATAATTTTGAAGGCAAGAGTGGAATAATAATCTGCTAACAAAAACTCAGAACAGAAAGCATAATGAAATCGGAGTGTTATTGCTCATCAAGAATTATTCCAGCCGGGGTTAGCTATGCCATTTCAATTAACTGGCAAATATTTAATTTCCCATGCTATAGGAAGAATGACTTACCAGTGCCAAGCACAGATAATTTCTGTTTATGATTACTCTGTATTTCTTTTTGTAATTTCACTAGCCAATTATCTTCAAAATTCAGTGTTGAAACCCAACGCTTATTTCAGTAGATGGCGCTGTTAGACAAAATTAATTTCCAAGAGTGAAGCCCTCACCCTGATATTACATAATGCTATGTGACATTTTTTTAATTGTGTCTTTTGACCGTCTAGGGATAAGAAGCTCATACTTTCGTACCCTAATAATTTTATTTATTGGCAATAGCAATTTCTCTTTAAACTTCAGCAGTGCACACATTCTTTTCCTGGAAGTGTTGACAATCTGATGCAACTCGTCTGTACACATTTGCTATAAACAGAAAATAAAGTTAATTCTTGGCTGAAACTTCTTTAAAATACAGGGAGCTGCAACTGCCCCAGCTCTGCTCTGCAGAGGCAACCTTCACTTACCCAGCTTTTTGCAGCCCAGGCTAAGAATGTTCAACCAGGCATTGCTAGCTGCAGTACAGCATCAAGGTAGAAGTTAGCATTTCAGTGCATTGGTTTGGCCACTGCTGATATTTATGATATCTATTTATATCTTCTTTTCAGTCCCAATATGCTCCTAAAGAATTCACCAAGTTTCATCTTTTTTTTTTTCCTTTAAACATTAGCTCAGCAGGTTGCCTGCTGAGTATTAGTTATTCATTTTCCACCTGCATGCAGTTGCTCCTAAACAGCTCAGCATTTCACATCCAGAAGTAATCATCTTCCCTACTCAGCATCATGCCATTCCCTCTGGCCAAAATAACTATATTTTTTTAAATCCACAAAGAACAAACCAAAGGTTCATTTCGACTTGCCTTTGACAAATACTCAATGAAATTTAACATAAGCAAATGATTACAGTGCTAATCTTTCTTCAGTAGGTTTGGCAGAACTGCAACACCACTAGTAGAAAATTATTGCTGTCCTTCTCGCGATGACCAGAACATCAAACATGGTGTCTATCAAACATACTTGAACCAGCTATTGTGGTCAAGTACAGTTTTGTATTGTATGTGTTACATTAGGGCAGGGAGCTCTTCTGTTATGTAGCAATTATGCTGGATCCAGCAAGGCCTGGTACAGGCTATAAGGATCCCCAAACTCTTTGCAATTGTCAATTTGAACTGTGTTTGGAACAACTGACAAGCTCAGTGGGATACGTACTGGAGGACCTGCGGGAGGCCAGACGTGACTCCTGAAGGCTTCAATATGAGCCTAGCAGAAATCACTTTATTCCCGTTACAGCAGATTATTCATCTACTACATTTCTGTTAAGTCATAACTGACAAGCTCAGTGGGATACGTACTGGAGGACCTGCGGGAGGCCAGACGTGACTCCTGAAGGCTTCAATATGAGCCTAGCAGAAATCACTTTATTCCCGTTACAGCAGATTATTCATCTACTACATTTCTGTTAAGTCATCTAGCCACGTGTACGCTTACATTGTGATTGGTTGCATACTACTGTCCACACGTCTTCTACCGTACTAGGTTGGCTGTAGATATCGAGGCACACGTTTACATGATTGGCCCGCAAACAGTCCTCTATCCTGCACTGATAAGCTTATGTACAGGTTCTTCCTCTCCTACTTCCATGTTCTTGCAGCTGGTGACTTTCCCACGATCTTTTCACCTTGGTCTTAGACCGGCTCATCGTATCCATCTTCTATCGGGAAGCCTCGGTTACTTAGATATGCTCCCGGAAGGACCTACCTCTACCCAATCTACAGGAATGAGTGAGTCACACATTAAGGTGTTCCTGCTGGAGCAGGGGGGTTGGAGTAGATGATCTCTAGAGGTCCCTTCCAACCTCAACCATTCTGTGATTCTGTGATTTCTTTCTAATTATGGACCACCAAATTTTCCCAGATATTATAAAACCTATATATTAGAAAATAAGGCATCTGTCAGCATCTTATTGTTTCTCTGTTGATTCAGTCAAACTTATTAAAGATCTGAGCTTTACCTGCGTTCTGTGCCAGATAACTGATGCCCTGGAGTGACCCAACTTGTTTCGACAAGGTCCTTTATCGTAATGTATAAGAAGAAAATCATCCTACAAAATATTAAATGGAAACATATGCAATAAACAGAAGTACAAATTGTTAGTTTATGAAATACTATGTCCTGAGAACTTGTAACCAGCAATTGTACAGGAAGATAAAATCTTGGTAAAGAGAACCTTGGCCAGCTCCAACCATTCCAAAAAGTGCTTTGTTTACAGTTAAGTGTCTTCAGAAGCAGGTTTGTTTAAGAACTGTTGTTTATCTATAATGAATCTTTTCTTCTGAAGACTCCCAAGTGGCATATTTAAATGCTAGTGTAAAGTTTAGCAAGACAATCTGAGATGGTAAACTGGCCAGTACATATATCTCACAGAGACAGAGAGAGGGGAAGGAGGGGGAAGTGGGAGGGAGAGGGGAAAGAAAAGGGAGCGGAAGAGAGGGAAGAAGAGGGGAAGGAAGAGAAAAAAGAGAGAGAGAAAGGGAGAAAGAGAGGGAGAAAGAGAAAAGAGCAAAGGAAAAAAAGAAGATTTATAGCACAGACTTAACAGACTTGATTCCTTTTCTTAGCTAAAGAATAAAAAGACAATACAGACACAAGAGCATACAGGAGAAAGGCTACCATACCTGTCCTGCCACACTTTCATACACCAGCCAAGATAGCAGGCCAGGTACCGAGAGCTGTGGGGGGTACCCAAGAGCTCTGATTTTTAACTGAGCATGAGAATGCCTGTGATTTAAGGACTCTCAGTAAAGCATTCAAAATGAACAACAGCAGGATTCAGAACAGTCAGAGTACCTTTAGTGGACATAAAACATTTCCTTCACTATTGTTAACTTTGCTATAAAATTAAATGGATGACGTGGAAACAGATATTGTATACTGTATGCCTTGGACACAAACACATGACAACTAACAGCTCATAGATTGATAAATCTCTGGTGTTAGAACACTGTTTTGTTTTTGACACATTAGACAAATTTCTTGTCTAACAAAATGACCAATATATGATAATGGTGGCACAATGAACCTAGAGGTTCTCTGTTAAGTCTTCACAGGATTGAGACATTAATACACTCATCTTGTAACTCCTTCAGAAAGTAGAACATCAAAAGGCAAATCCCAAATGAAGTATTATCAAAACAACCAAGCTAGATGCCAATGCAAGGATAGCTAATATTATAAATTAGTTTAAGCATATGGACAAAATACCAAGATCACACAGATCAGACAAGCAGAATTAGGTATACAAATCCTAACAAGTTAACAGCTCCAGCTCCAATGGATACAACCCCACTAAGTTTGTCAAAAGGAAACCCAAAAATACTGCTGCAACAGAAAGTGCAAAAGACAAGGAACAACAGGGGAAGAAGTGGCTAGTGAGTGAGTACGTAATTCATTAATGAGACAGCTGGATAGCAAAGCAATGAACTCCAAAGCTTCTGAGGTCCAGAGCATGCTGCATGTACTCACATCAAGGGATTCCAGGCAGTACCAGCAAAAGGCATGTTTGCAATTCTTGCACATCATTTGGGCACAGCCTTCATCTCGCTCAATGTAAACTTTGCACTTTGGACAGCGCTTGATTGGAGCATCATCTTCCTCCATTTTAAAAACCGAACTGTGAGGAAGAGTGGTGAATTAGTAAGATGTGTGGCCATGTCAATTTAGAGGAGATCTTCTAAGAACTGTGATAAGTAAATATGCCTACTTTTTTCCTTATTAAAAAGAAAATAATAAAGATCTAGGTATTCAGCTGACTTATTATTCTGATATACTCTATTTTTCAAACATACATCTACTATTTTTCAAACACACAACTGTTTCTGTAATCTATTGATTTTGGTAATAGTACACTGCTTCTTCCTGAAATATTAGATGAGCAGCTAATTCACAGCTAAACATTTTGTATGTCTAGATAATTTTTCCCTCCATTCTTTACTCTCAGAAGAGGAATGCATCCCCTAAAGGTACAGTAAGCCCAGACTGCACTCCCTGGGGCGAGGGTACCAGGGAGTGATTGCTTGTCTCTGCCTTCTTTGAGGATCCTCCATAGGAATTTCCCTCCAAATTCCCTCTGCCATGAGCTTTTCTGCATTTTTGTTCTTTCAGAATTTATTGCTTTTTATCTCCAGCACTATCCAGTCAAAACATGCTTCATGAGTTTGGGTCAGCACCGCTCCTTCTTGTGTCTTGTACAGAGTGCAGGAATGTAGAAACACTGGAAGAACATTTATTTCTCTAGAGTAGCTTTCTACTCTGTCAAGCTTTTTTTCACTCCAGCAACTAAAATGTGTCTTGACAACTGGCACTTCCTGCCTGGCAGCCACTGCTGGCGGGAAAAGAGAAGATTTTAAGATGGAGACAAAAGAATGATGATAGTGAATTAGTAAGTGCCAGTAAAATAGGACTAACACTTGATTGATTGCGGTTTGCCTGACTGATGGATGGCAGGACATACACTCATTAACCACACTACCAGCAATCATATCACAGAGGAAAGCTTTAAATCCATAAACTGCAAAAACTATAAACATCCAAAACACTAAGGAAAATACATCAATACCTTACCATGAAGTTTAGTGAGATTGAGTTCTGGCTCAATTTCACATGAAATCTGCATAACGAAGTTATAATATTTGACCAGGAACTGATCATGGCAGCATCATAACCAATCATCTATTACAGCAAAGGTTGAAAAAAGACAACTTGGGAATAGCTAAGTCCACAGGTCATCTAGGGCTTTAAGGATACCTTGAACTGTTACAGAGTCTTCCAAGAAGGCTGTCAGTGAGATGTGCACAATGGCCTCTCCCATTCAGTGGCTGCAGTATGCCTGTGTTTCTTCACCGTGGCTCTCAGAGTTCAAGATTGTTGTCCAGATATGCCGCAGTTGGGATGTTTGACAAAGTATCCTAAAAACTGCCTGAGATGTAATGACCAACCATCAGGCTGTCTAGAATAGCTTCTGTGAGGAGAAGGTCATTTGTTGCCTGCGTGCCTCGTCTGTGGTTTGGTGGGCATGGTAGCAAGGAGGGACGGCCATCAAGAGCCATCCACGTTTGGAACATAGCATTAACATGAGAACTGGAATGACTAGGTGAAGGAAATGTCTTTAAAACAAAATAAAGCATCCAAAAAATGCCTCTTTGTTATTCATATTCCTGTCTGTTAAAAGATGCATTGTTTTCTTTCTAAATTTTTGGTCATTTGTAATACTATACCTTGTTTCTCCTGGAAGAAAGGAGAGTGGCATATTCTCTTGACAGCCTTGACCTGGGTGCCAGTTGGATTTGCAAGCAGAGCAGAACTCTATGTCACAGGCTTTGCACTGGACCAGCTGAGGATTCTGAGGGTTTGATTCCTGGAGCTGGCAAACTGCCTGGCAAGTAGAGGAGGGACACCAAGTCCGACATGGATCCAAAAGCACTTCTGTAAAAAGGCATAAAAGAGCTAAACTCAAAGGCAGTTGCAAGACCAGCCTTCCATAACACTGTGTTCCAGATGAGGTTGACTGGCAGGGCATTTGAACACTCGTCTTTTCAAAAGGAGCTTTTTCATTTACTTTACTCAATTAAACATAAGTCTGGCCTGCTTTGCAAACTGGCACCAAACTAAGATAAATAAACTGAGTTTCCAGAGTCTGAATTAATTACTTACTTTCATTCACTGAACTAAACCTATTCTGAGAATGGAATGCAATATTTTTCTTAAGTTACACTTAAAGTTAAATAGAGCATATCTTATAACTTATGCAGGCATAATGCACCAGAAAGTGTTTGTACAGCATCTTTCCCAGTGGGGCTCTACTTCAAGTTGGCTGCTGCACTAACGTAACCACAAGATTAACAACAATATAAGATTGTTATCCAACTTCATCCCATTCCTGACACCTGCTTACAGTTAACTCATTTCATGTTTCAAAGCCCATTGTGGTCAATAAAAATATACCACTTATTCACCTGGTCTCTTAGCTGGGTCTATTACTCGATGACGACCACAGAATAAGTTCTCTGTGGTCATATGTACCTAACTTCCAAAAACAATTAATATCACACTACTACACGTATAGGATTAGATTTTGATTTCTGGAGTGTTCCTACTACAGTAGAAGTGATAATGTGTGTTACCTCTTTCAAACTGAAGCTTCTTGTATCTTTGCATGATTTCTGATGCAACCATGCACTCAATCTGTTGAAGGAAGGAAAAGACAAATTCCAGTTAAGAACAGCATTTTCAATAAATTGAGACAAAATATTTGACCTTTGCAGAATCATTAAAAACATATGTTGGCAACCATGAATGAGCAAGACACATCTGAAAAAGAAGAGGAGAAGAGAAAAAATGTAATAAAAACATACCTCATTTTCTTGTAGATGACCTCGCTTTGGGCAGGCAGCATCAGGGCAACTAATTGCTGTTTCTAGACCTTCTTTGATCAAAAGCTCCACATACTGTTTTAGGCACTGCAAGAGGGACAGAGAGTTGAGCTAACTGCCCCAACAAGAATAAATATTTCAGTATTTTAACAATTTTCACTTGAAAATCTGAGGAACTTAAACTTCTCTGAAAAACAGATATTGTGCCCCATTTACAAGCGTGATGCATACTCACAAACACTGCCAAGGTTATACCCTTAAATAGGAAATGGTAAGTTCATTTTCTGCATGTGTTCATCACACAACTCCTTCAATTTGGAAAAAAAATCAGCAAAAAACAAATAAAAATGAGGAAAAGAGACAAATTAAATGGGGAGCTAGAAAAATAAGAAGATAAAATTAGATTAACCACAGACCCACAATCTTTATGTGACTGGAAACCACAACACAGCTTAGTAAGCAATAACCATCCATAAAGAGACATCTGTCAAGAGTGACGAAAAGCAAATGGGAGTATACTTTGCATTCTATTTTTGGAAAATAACTATTTGAACTTCATGGCTAAAGATCTATTTTCTCTTCCACAGGAGAAAAAAAAAAAAAAAAAAAGCACGTGAGAATTAGGACTCCCAGAACTATAGTTTCCATGGGGACTGAATAATAAATATTGTTAATAGTAATGTTTTTCTCTCATTTCTCCCATAGCAACCATAGCGTTTTACCTAAGTAGTAACTGAAAATATAGGATGTGCATTTGTACACAGCATGACTGTCAACAAGACAAAGAAGAAAGGCAGATATTTAGACCAAGGTCAAATTAAGACCACATCTCATTACTCCTGAAGAGCAGGCAGGGTCAAGCAAAGCAGACAATGATACATTTTACTAGCATTGATTTGACTAGCCTGACATGTTGACTTTTTATTGCAACAAGGGCGCACATGGATTCTTTTCTCTTCATACCCCCACAGAACTTCCCCCAACCTTGCGCCACAGGAGAAAAAAAAATGAAGGTCTTTTTTCTAGCAGATTCCCCTGTGGTGTTCTCAACCTGCTTGTGGGATTCCCAAGGGCTCAAATGGCAACAGCAAACTGGAGATAATTATGAAAAATAGATCCTAAACTCTCATATAACATCTGCAGAGTAGAAATTAAGACTAGACCAACATCAGACTGAAATGAAGATACAGAGCAAGCCTGGCATACTAGAAGATGGGAAGCAAGAAGGATTTTGCACTCTGCAGCAAGTGGGCAAACCAGAGGTTTCAAATACCACCTTCTGTCAGAATTTTCAAACAGGCCGTTGTGAGCTTGGAAAGGCAAAGGGCTGCATCACCCTTGCAGATTCCAGCATGCCTAATTGCAGTTCAAAGCACAAAGCCACCTCTTTACTCCGGCCGCACCATCTAAGAGGCCTTTCAATGAGCATGTCTCCAGCCTAACCCTTGGGATGTGGTTTGTATTTGCTAAAGTCCAGACTTAGAGACTACTCATTCGGCCTCTTCTCTTGTTGTTCTGCTTCTTCATATGACTATTCTGCTCCTTTCAGAGAATTTATCACTTAATTTAACATTTTATCTTAGTTTTCACCTCTTGCACATCAACTGACACAAAATCTTCACTTCCTGCCCACATAATTTCTGCTACTGCAGGACACAGCTCTGCTGGTGGTGGTATATCCCTTGAAAGCACAGCAAATCATTTCTGTTATATTCTTCTTTTCTGTGTCTCCTGCTCAACAGAGACAATTGCTTGTTGTATAAGAAAAACAGAGACTGACTAATTGTTATCTTTAGAGGTTTTACATGCAAAATTGTGATGACTTATGACCTAAGTCCTCCTCTTTGTCAGTATGAGTTTAATGAAAACAAGAGTTCACTCAGGAGCAGACGGTTTGACTTCCAGAAGGTTAGAGCTCTGGGTGCGGGTGCTGGCAACTCATGAGCACCACTGACAGCTCCACAAGGACAAGGCCCTGGGTTGGGCGCCTTGGCAAACTGTGGTGGCAGCTGCAGTGAAGTATTAGCTCTGCCTAATGACACAATTGGCTCTTCCCTCTCCCCTATATTTGCAGATGACAACTGTGCATTAAAATGAAAATGCATACATTTTTAATGGCAGTACTTAGCTCTTATAGGAAGTACTTTTCGAACTGAATGAGCTTTACCATCATTAATCATTAATGTGGCAGTTCTCCTCCTCAACCTGCTTGGGAGGATTGCCCAAGTCCATTAGAGTTGTTTCCTTTTGTTCACATCTTCCAAGAAATGCCTTTCATCCCTGCCATGTGCTGTGCCCAAGGCGCTCCCCTCCCATTCACATGTCACTGGCCTCTGTCTCCCCAAAATCAACGTAGCACTTCCACACTTCCACTACCTTCTGGGAATGCAGGTGCCGTCTTGAGGCCACGAAACAGCACTGTAAATTAGGCAGAGGACACGACTTCCTGCCAATTCAAGATTCCCAGCTGAGATTCCTCAGGCAGAGACAGAAGAATTTGAAGTATTTGGCATGAGGGACACGACATCCTGCCAATTCAAGATTCCCAGCTTGAGAGATTCCCCAGGCAGACACAGAAGAATTTGAAGTATTTGGCATGAGGCTTCTCTTGAGAAATACACATGACACTTGTCTTCGAAAGTTTTGAACTGGCTGGAGCACCGTAAGTGCCATAAAGCACCAGCAGGCAAACAAAACAACACAGTTGGATTGCGTGCCCAGTTATACACAATGACAAAAAAATCATTAAAACAAACTACTTTTACAAAAGGGTAGTACATTGTAAATTGTTTCTCATTTTCTCAAATCTGTCATTTTACTCCTTGTTATCTATTTAAGAAATAAAGTACTGTTTAACATGAAGGGGAAAAAAGTGTTTTGAAAGTAAATCGCCTAAAACAACTTTGAAAATAAACTTTATTACATAACCTTCCTCCAGAGAACAGGAAAGATGAAGTTAGATATCTAGTGGCTGAAAAGGTACCCAGTTGTACTTGACCCTTAAACTAATAGGGTGAACGTCTTTATTCTCCATGCAATGGATACTTACTATGGTATCCTGTTACCTGTTTCTGAAGCAATGCTTTTTACTCAATTCCTCTTGTTCTCTTATTAAAAAGAAAGAAAAAAAAAAAGAAAAAAAACAACCTTTCTATTTCAATAATTAAGTAAATAACTACTATTGAAATTTATCACACTTGGAGATGCTCTTAAACTTCTGCATGTTTCTTTTTATCCATGTAGCCTGAAACAATGAAGCCTGAGTCAGACTTCAAAAAATTAACTGTTTGGACTGAATTAAGTAAACCAAAAAAGGATAACTGTGAAAGAGGAGGACTTTTTTGAATTGAGAAAATATATATATATTTCTGTATTCAGCTTTGTATTCCATTTTTGTACTTTGACAATTGTCACGTAGAATAAGAAAGTAACACGTGTCCAGCAAGAACAGAAAACCAAAGATTTAAGTTTTTAGCCATTAATAAACCATGTACACAGTCCTACTCCTTTCCCAATTTAGAAGTAAAAGATGTTAGCTTATAACATTCTTTAGGCAAACTGTTGTGTTTTATTTTGCAGTTACAGGTGAACAGACATCTGCAGTGGCTGGATTTCTATGTTGTGTGGATTCTTCAAGCTTATCAAATGACTAAGGAGAAAAAGTGTTTAAAAAAAAAGTCTCCCTAGAAACATCCTCCAATGTGAAGCTGACATTCTAGAGTATGATATGGTACCTGCAGGAGAGTGTTAAGGTGGTTTGGATTCCTTAACTACAACAATACCTATGCCTCAAAATTAATTTTACATTTAACAAGTCTGTATATTTTTTTTAATTGAAACACGCTTGCAGTATGTTATCACATATGAATGCTAGACAAGGAATCTCAAGAAAATCTTAGCATGTAAAATTTGTAATTTCTGTTAAATAAATGAAAGCAAAAGAAAGCAAAACACCGCACATCCTATTTTAAGCTGTAGGTCAAGAGGTTTCACAGGTCCCAGTTGCTTTCTGCCAACCCTGAACAGTGCAAGGTCAGTCAAAACTGACAGGGCAGATCACCCGAGTGGCTAGTAAAGAACTACTTTCCTTCTGAAGCTGTCTAACATAGGCTAAATGTATAAAGCTCAACAAGATGAACTGTTCTTCTAATCTTTGTACATGCAGGATTGCGCTACAGAAGAAGGTGTATATATGCAACGGCCACTGATGCTCCGTTATTTTGCAGCTGAACACCATTTTGTCTGGCCCTGAGAAAACTGAAATATTGTCTAAGCCAGAGTAAAGGTATTCTCATCCATGAGAATCAAAACTGTTGTTTTTTTTGTCTGGTTTCTCAAAAATAATCACAATATTATTCTGATACATTTAACTCTGACAAACCTGCACAACCCAGAGCAACATTTTGACATAAAGATTTCAGGTATCTGACTTTTTTAGGAGAATTTAAGGAACAACTCTATTTATGGTAATGACGCTTTAGTTTGTTTCTTCTGACACCCAAAAGTAAATTTAAAGCACAATCATTCATAAGAAAGAATCCAACTTTCATTACTTTCAAGTATGACAAAATTTTGCTGGTATTTATATTGACAAAATAAACTGCTCACTGGGTCTCTAAATTAACTTTGTAATACACTACAACTACAATTAAAACCACTTGAAGATATTTTCAGTGAAAGCCTTCACTGTCTAAGAAGTTGGGGGTTTTCTGATACAAGATAGAACAGCCAGAGAGAATGATTTTTAAATATTCCAGCACATTTACTGTTAAGAACATGCTAGCTCTAATAATGCAGAAGATGGAAAATGAGTTAGGCAGGAAAAAAAAAAATCCTAGAAGCAAATAGACAAATTTTGTCAAAATGCAGATTCCTGCCTAAACAAAAGCTGCAGATGCAAGTATCAAGTCACACAGGAAATTTTCACTGGGTCAGTCTTTGGAAATGCCAAAGCATTGCAGGATTACAGACACAAATATATCATCACTTTTTCATTTAATTTATTGCTTAAAATATATCTTGAGTACTGACACTAGGCCACAAGTCCATCCCAAAAGTAAAAAAAAAAAAAAAACACTGTACGCACT